GGTAAAAGTTTACAGTGCAAATTAGTTTCTCATTCAGAAATTTATACACATTTTGTTTTATGCCATTGATTGAATCCCTGCAATGTGTCAGCACTCTTCCCCCTTTCCACCCTGGGTTCCCGGTGTCCGTTTATCCAGTTTTCATGTCCCTTCCTGCCTTCTTGTCTTTGCTTTTGGGCAGGCGTTACCCATTTGGTCTCATATACTTGATTGAAATCCTCCACGTGCCTGTCAGTTTGTCATACTATGGGGGCTTTTGTGATGCTGGAAGCTATGCCACCAGTATTCAGACACCAGCAGGGTTACCCATGGCGGACAGGTTTCAGCTGAGCTTCCAGACTAAGACTAGGAAGAAGGACCAAGGCAATCTACTTCTGAAAAGAATTAGCCAGTGAAAACCTTATGAATAGCAGCAGAACATTGTCTGATACAGTGCCGGAAGATGAGCCCCTCAGGTTGGAAGGCACTGAAAATACGACTGGATCCAGCTATCCGGCTCCTTGGAATATATCCTAGAGAAATAAGAGCCATCACACGAATAGATATATGCAGGTCCATGTTCATTGCAGCACTGTTCACAATAGCAAAAAGGTGGAAACAACCTAGGTACTCATCAATGGATGAATGGATGAACATGGTATATCCACACAATGGAATACTATGGAATGATAAAGAAAAGTGATGAAGCCGTGAAACATGGAGGAATCTGGAGGGCATTATGTTGAGTGAATTTAGTCATTCACAGAAGGGCAAATATTGTATAAGACCACTACTACAAGAACTCAAGAAAAGGTTTAAACACAGAAGAAAACGTTCTGATGGTTACAAGGGTGGGGAGGGAGGGTGAGGGTTATTTACTAGATAGCAGAGAATTATCTTAGGTGAAGGGAAGGACAGCACACACTACAGGGGAGGTCAGCACAACTGGACTAAACTAAAGCTAAGAAGTTTCCTGAATACAGTCAAACAATTTGAGGGACAGAGTAGCAGGGGTACGGGTCTGGGGACCATGCTTTCAGGGAACATCTAGGTCAACTGGCATAACAAAGCTTATTAAGAAAATGTTCTGCATCCTACTTTCATGAATTGCATCTGGGGTCTTAAAAGCTTGCAAGCGGCCATCTATGATGCATCAATTGGTCCTAACCACCTGGAGTAAAGGAGAATGAAGAACACCAAAGACACAAGGAAGGTATTAGCCCAAGACACAGAAAGGGCCACATAAACCAGAGACTTCATCAGCCTGAGACCAGAAGAACCAGATGGTGCCTGGCTACCACCAATGACCGCCCTGACAGGGAACACAACAGAGGGTCCCGGCCAGAGCAGGGGAAACGTGGGGTGCAGAACTCAAATTCTAGTAAGAAGACCAGACTTAATAGTATTGTGACTGAGACTGGAGGAACCCTGGAAAGCATGGCCCCTGGATTCTCTGTCAGCCTAGAACTAAAACAATTTCCGAGGCCAACTCTTCAGACAGGGATTGGAATGGACTGTGGGACACAAAGTGACACTCATGAGGAGTATGCCTTTTAGCTCAAGTAGATAAAAGAGACTAAATGGGCAGCTTCTGTCTGGAGGTGAGATGGGAAGGCAGAGAGGGTTAGGAGCTGGTTGAATGGACATGGAGAATCGGGTGGAAAGGAGGAGTGTGCTGTCACAGTATGGGGAGAGCAGTTAGGGTCACATAACAATGTATGTATAAATTTTTGTATGGGAGACTAACTTGAAATGTAAACTTCATTTAAACTACAATAATAAAAAGGAAAAAAAAAAAAAACAATTGGGGAAGAGCTGCCTCCTCTAAGTAGAGTCAACCTTAATGACATGGATGGAGTCAAGCTTTTGGGACCTTCATTTGCTGATGTGGCACAACTCAAAATGAGAAGAAACAGCTGCAAACACCCATTAATTGTAACATGGACTATACGATGTATGAATCTAGGAAAATTGGAAATTTTCAAAAATGAAATGGAATGCATAAAGATCAATATCCTAGGCATTAGTGAGCTGAAAGGGACTGGTATTGGCCATTTTGAATCAGACAATTTATATGGTCTTCTATTCTGGGAATGACGACTTGAAGAGGAATGGTTTTGGCATTCATCGTCAAAAAGATCTATCCTGAAGTACAATGTCAGTAATAGGATAATACCTATATGCCTACAAGGAAAACCAGTTAGTATGACTATTACTCCAATTTATGCACCAGCCACTAAGGTCAGAGATGAAGAAATTGAAGATTTTTACCACCTTCTGCAGTCTGAAATTGATAGAACATGCAATCAGGAATCATTGATAATTACTGGTGATTGGAATGCGAAAGTTGGAAACAAAGAAGGAGGATCGGTAGTTGGAAAATACAGCCTTGGTGATAGAAACGATGCTGGGGATCCCATGATAGAATTTTGCAAGACCAATGACTTCTTCATTACAAATGCCTTTTTTCACCAACATAAACTGTGACTATACACGTGGACCTCACCAGATGGAATACACAGTAATCAAATCGACTACATCTGTGGAAAGAGACGATGGAAAAGCTCAGTATCATCAGTGAGAGCAAGGCCAGGGGCCGACTGTGAAAGAGACCATCATGTGCAAGTTCAAGTTGAAACTGAAGAAAATTAGAGCAAGTGCATTAGAGCCGAAGTTCGACCTTGAGGATATCCCATCTGAATTTAGAGACCATCTCAATAATAGATTTGACGTGGTCAACAAATGACTGAAGACCAGATGAGTTGTGGAATGACATCAAGGACATCATACATGAAGAAAGTAAGAGATCATTAAAAAGACAGGAAAGAAAGAAAAGATCAAAATGGACGTCAGAAGAGACTCTGAAACTTGCTCTTGCATGTCGAATAGCTAAAGCAAAAGGAAGAAATGTTGAAGTAAAAGAACTGAGCAGCAGATTTCAAAGGATGACTCGAGAAGACAAAGTAAAGTATTATAATGACATGTGCAAAGACCTGGAGTTAGAAAACCAAAAAGGAAGAACACGCTAGGCATTTCTCAAGCTGAAAGTGCTGAAGAAAAAATTCAAGCCTTGAGTTGTAATACTGACGCATTCTATAGGGAAAATATTAAACGACCCAGGAAGCGTCAAAAGAAGATGGAAGGAATACACAGAGTCACTATACAAAAAAGAATTGATCAGTGTTCAGCCATTTCAGGAGGTAACATATGATCAGGAACCAATGGTACTGAAGGAAGAAGTCCAAGCTGCACTGAACGCATTGGTGAAAAGACTCCAGGAGTTCACAGAATACCAATTGAAACGTTTCAACAAATGGATGCAGTGCTGGAAATGCTCACTCATCTATGCCAAGAAATTTGGAAGACAGCTACCTGGCCAACCGACTGGAAGAGATCCATATTTATGCCTATTCCCAAGAGAGGCGATCCAACCAAATGTGGAAATTATCAAACAATATCATTAATGTCACATGGCAAGTAAAATTTTGCTGGAGATCATTCAAAAATGGCTGCAGCAGTACATCAACAGAGAACTCCCAGAAATTCAAACTGGATTCATAAGAGGATGTGGAACCAGGGATATCATTGCTGATGTCAGATAGATCCTGGCTGAAAGCACAGAATACCAGAAAGATGTTTACCTGTGTTTTATTGACTATGCAAAGGCATTTTACTGTGTGGATCATAATAATTGTGGATAACATTGCGAAGAATGAGAATTCCAGAACACTTCATCGTGCTTATGAGAAACCTGTACGTAGATCAAGAAGCAGTCATTTGACAGAACAAGGGGATACTGTGTGGTTTAAAGTCAGGAAAGGTGTGTGTCAGGGTTGTATCCTTTCACCATACTTACTCAGTCTGTATGCTGAGCAAATAAGCCGAGAAGCTGGACTATATGAAGAAAAACAGCATCAGGATTGGAGAAAGACTCATTAACGACCTGAGTTATGCAGACGACACAGCCTTGCTTGCTGAAAGTGAAGAAGACTTGAAGCACTTACTGATGAAGATCAAAGATTACAGCCTTCAGTACGGATTACACCTCAACATAAAGAAACAAAAATCCTCACAACTGGACCAATAAGCAACATCAAGATAAATGGAGAAAAGATCGAAGTTACCAAGAATTACGTTTTACTTGACTCCACAATGAACACCCATGGAAGCAGCAGTCAAGAAATCAAAAGATGCATTGCATTGGGCAAACCTGCTGCAAAATACCTCTTTAAAGTGTTGAAAAGCAAGGATGTCACCTTGAAGACTAAAAGATGCGCCTGACTCAAGCCGCAGTGTTTTCAATTGCCTCATATGCATGTGAAAGCTGGACTTCCAGAATTTACGCCTTTGAATTGTGGTGTTGGCAAAGAATAGTGAATATACCATGATCTGCCAAAAGAACGAACAAATCTGTCTTAGAAGAAGTATAACCAGAATGCTCCCTAGAAGCAAGTTTGGCAAGACTATGTCTCACATGCTTTGGACGTGTTATCAGGAGGCATCAGTCCCTGTAGAAGGACATCATGCTGGTAGAGGGTTAGCGAAAAAGAGGAAGACCCTTGATGAGATGGATTGACACAGTGACTGCAACAGTGGGCTCAAGCGTAACAAGGATTGTGAGGATGGCATAGGACCGAGCAGCACTGTGTTCTGTCATACCTATGGTCTATATGAGTCGGAACTGACCTGACGGCACCTAACAACAGAGTTCTGGCCTTTGTCCCAGCTTCTAAGAGATAAACCGTTGGAATTTCTGGAGTGATGTCATTGTTATTCATGGTAGACCCCTTGGACCATACCAGTACCAGTTGCCCTCAAGACGATTCCAACTCATGACAGTCTCATGCATGTCAGAGTAGAATTATGCTCCATGGAGTTTTCAAGGTTGTGACCTTTTGGATGTGGATTGCCAGACCTTTCTTCTGAGACACCTCTGGGTAGGTTCAAACCACCAACCTTTTGGTTAGTAGTCAAGTGCTTAACCATTTGTGCCACCCAGACTCCTGCTTGGACCATACTTGATAGTTTATATTAAGGAGATGACTCAGGGTGGGGCCTGGCCACACAGATCATCTTAGCAAAAAGACCAACAATGTGCTTAGAGGGTTGAGGCTTTGAGCCACTTGATATCTATCAGTCAAACGTCCAGGGAGGGAGGGGGGCAAAAGATTGAGTTCAGCCACATAGGTGATGATTCAAGCAATCATGCTTATGTAATGAAACCCCAATAAAAACTTGACACCAAAGGTCCGGTGAGCTTCCCTCGTTTGCAATATTCTGCACATTCTCACACATCAACGGGCCAGGAGGATAGTACGTCCTGGCTCTATGGGGAGAGAATATAAGAAGTTAGGCATTTTCAACTCTTCTAGACTTTAACCTCCCTTTGGCTGGTTCTGATTTGTATCATTTTACTACAGTAAAACTGATTTTAAGTATAGAGCTTTCCTGAATTTTAAGGTGTTCTAGCTACTTAATGAACCTGACGGTATAGTTAAACAACTCCTGAAATTGTAGCCAGGTGGCCTGAGGATCCTTGAGTTTGTAGCTGGTTTCTGAAGTGAGGGCAGTCTTGTAGAGGGCTGTGCCTTTAACCTGGGACGTCTGATGTAATTCTGGGTAGTTGGTGCTAGATGTCATTGTGGGATTGTTTCCAATTTTTGGATGTTATGAATAATGCTGCTTATGCATATTTGTATACAGTCCTTTGTGTGGACGTTTTCATTTCTCTTGGGCATATAGCTAGGAGTGGAATTGCTGGTTCATATGGTAAATTTACATTTAACTTTTTAAGACCCTGCCAAACTTTCCCAAGTGGCTGCACCATTTTACATTCTTACCAGCAATGCATGAAGACTGCCAGCTTCTCCACAGCCTCACCAACACTTATGTGGTTCTTTTGATTACAGCCATTCTCTAGAGGAGGCATCTCATTGTAGTTTTGTGTTTCCCTAATCTCTGCCATGTTTCACGTGCTTATTGGTTTGATGTCTTATCAGTTTTGGAAAAATTCTTAGCCATTATCTCTTCGAATATTGCTCTCATTCCATTCTGGAATCAATTATATGTATGTAAGAGTTTTACATCATGCTTAATATGTATCTTATACTTTTTTAAAAACTTTTTTTTCCTCCTTTGCACTTCAGGCTGGACATTTTTTATTCACCTACCATCAAGTTCACTAATCTTTCTTCAGCTTTGACCAACTTACCATTAATCTTATATATAAAATTGTCAATTTCGGCTATTTAATCTTTCAGTTTGCATTCCCATTTGATACTTCATAGATCCCAATTGTTTTCCAGTTTTTGCTTTCCTTGGATATACAGTATTAATCCTGGCTGTTTTAAAGTCCACATCCAATATAAGTCCAGTATGTGCATTCCTTGTGGGTCTGTTCTTCTTGGTCCTATTTCTTAGTGTACATGGTATTTTTGATGAAATGGTGGAGATTATGTAGGAAAAACTGTAGAAGCTGTGGATAAAATTACCCTCTTTCAGAGAGGATTCACCTTACCCTCTGGCAGACAGCTGGATCAGGGACACCTCGATCCAGTCAAGAACTGAGCTTATGCAATGCTGGGTATAAAGGTGGCGCTACCTCGGAATCACCTCCACTTCTAGGTTATAGACTTTCAGGGGTCCCAGTGGAGAGCCAGGGGTGTTTTTAGAGGCCCCACCTCCTTGAGGTCCTTAAGTTCAATTTTGTTTGGCAGTATTGAGACTGCTGGATGCTCTGCTGCACCTTTCAGCTGCTCTCTTAGTTTTTCTTCACCTTGCACAACGTAAATACTGGCAGATGCCTGACAGGAAGATGAGCATAGTGTTAAGGGTCACTTCCGCACCTTCTTTCTTCCACGGTCTTTGCCCATGCTGCCAAGGAAGTTCTCCAGTGACTTCAAATAGAGGTTGCATGCATTTTGTTCAGCTTTTGTTTTCATTGGCAGAGTTAGTACAAGCTAATCTATTACGGCTAGAAATGGAAGTATAGTATAAGAAGTACTTAAATCTGGATGCCTGTTCTGATAGTATTTTTTTTCCTGCTCTATTAGTTTGTCGTGAAAAAGACTAAAAAAAAAAAGTAGCAGCATTTAACATACCACTTTTATTGAAAAGAACTTCAGTAAATGTAGTTGGAGTTGTCCTGAAAAACTGAGGTAATGTTACAACTGTATAATGCTCCCTAACCCACCCCATATATAAGTTGACATTCTGCTTTATAAAACAGTTGGTCTCAGTGGATTTGAATACCAGGATATAATTGGCTGAAGCTTACTTACGCCTGGGTACACTTTTAAAAAAGTTATCAGTTTTTCACTCCGGCAGACATGATCGACTCATAGCATTTCCAAGTGCTACCTGGTGAAAACACCTATCACTAATTAAACTGTCAGTGATAAAAATTATGCTGCATCTTGTTCCTCTACTTTCCATGCCAGACAGGCACTCCCTCTAGGCCACAAATATTTGGGCTCAGATCTGTCCACACTTAAGAACAGTACATTCATCTGATAGGAAGGGTAGGGGACCCCACTGCTTGTGTTGGGTTGCAGCAGTAACTGTATGCTCAAGCCAGCATTCTTCTGGTCCCAGTGCCCAGATTCACTTTAGCCAATAGCTTCAAGGCACGTGCTCCTGGCTCTGAACGGACCTTCTGCTCAGCACTCATCAGACCTAGTACTTTCAAGCTGGAAATAGAAGTGTCAACCCTATTTTACCATTTTAAAGTTTTGGTATGTACTAAATATGAATTCTTGTTTATTTTACATATGTTTAGGCCGATCCATGTATCTACATTAAAACAGTGAAAGTTCTTTACTTTTTATACGTAACTGAGTCCTTAAAGCTGGAAGGCCAGAAAAGATGCATTTTGTAGAGCTATTTTTCAACAGCACTAAATTTGAGAGAAAATTAACTGCACTAAATTTGAGAGAAAATTAACTACACTGATTTTCTATCAGAATTTTCCCTCTAGCTATCACTAATTTTTAGTGATTTGAGCTTGTTCTGATATCTAATTAAAAGCCAAATCAAAAACAAATAGCTACTCCACTCTTCAATCTGCTGTTTTTTCTACACAGAGATTCTGGGGAATCCAAGCTGCTGCAGCTTTATACCAGTGTCTGATTTGGACTGACATTCCCCAGCATTCACAATGAAATGACTGAAGGCACTACACAGGAAGTAGTCTGGTTCCTGAATTGATAGCTCTTCCACTGGATGAAGTTGGTGTTTGCTCTCATAAATCAAACTAATGTCCACTGTCTGCTAAAATACACAGTTAATATGAAGATTTAATCTATACTTGGGATTTTTCCCCCAGTAGGCCAAGAGCAAAGACTTTTCTTACTCACACTGAATCGGCACCTATCTAAGCACTAGGCACAGAAGAAGCATTCAATGTTCGTGACTGACGGAATGAACGGTTTGCCACTTCTCTTTGATAACAATGTCATGCAAAGAAAAGAACGGCATATCATTTTTAATTCATCACCAAACTCTTAGAGGATTTTCTCCTTTTCAAATACTATAAATTGCTATCTATTTTACAAACCTACGTTGCCTGTGACAGATGGCATATTTAAGGAATTATTGTTTAAAAACCTTTTTATTATCCTTTTCCAATTCAAAAGGAGCCCTATACACCATATGTTTTAAAGGCAAACACAAAGACTGGCTCAATCTGTTTGGGTGCCATTGTCCTTGCTAGGGCTAGTAGGAAATGGATTCTGTTTCATGGTCACTCTGCACAGCTGTAGCTAAACATGGAAAATTTTTAGGCCAGCTTTTTAAAACTCTGAGTTAAGGTACACAAAACAGGAAATTGTGTTATCTTCATTATGACTCCATCGGTGTGTCTGAGCTCCTGCTCCCAAAAGGGCCACTAATAGATGAGCTTCTTGTATTGCCGAGAACAAGTCTCTCTCGTCTTCCAAATGCTTCATTTACTAAAATACAAATGAATAGTTAAGAAACTTCCAAATCAGGAAATTAAAAGTCTATAGTATAAAAAGATAGCAAAACATACAAAGGAGCAATGAGATTCTCTACCCTCGGGTGGAAATTTTGTTTATGAAAATATATAATACTTTATAAATGGGAAAGTAAGTAGCCAACTCAGAAGTCCAAGTTAATGTTCTGAATGAAGTTAACCATGTTTTAAAACAGTCTATTTTTTTGTATTTTACTCTCTTTATCTTGTCCTGGATCTGTCTAATCCTCTTTGATAACAGATGTTCCATCCCATATACCACTGACTACACCCTTCCCTTATTCTACTTCTGTTTCCCATTTTCTCTCTTTCCTCTGTATCAGGACCACCACAGAACTTTTTGGACTTAGGACTTTTCGGACGTATATAAATCAGCCAGAGAGAAATTTCAGGATCCTTCTTCCACACAGGAGAGAGGATTCAGGAATCAGATAGTGGGGATATGTCCTCTGGGTTTAGAGGACACACCAGACTACCTCAAAGTAACAAATAAGCAGGCAGGTTTGCAGGAAAGGAGGGGTGGCCCCTTCAGGAAAGCTGGATTTGGTAGAAAGTCATTAAGACAAGACAGAGATTTATTCACACTAGTAACTGGGAAGGGGAGGGTTGTTCTTTGAGACCATGCTGTATTTCCTTCCAACTTTCCCATAAAAATCTTTTGATGTAAAGATTCAAACTTTGTTATAAATAGGTATTTTTAAAAATGAACTACATTTAAAGTGTGAAGACAAAATTTATGAACATGAACATTTCCAAATTACACCTGCTGCTATGGTCCTAAATGGATTACATTACAGGACGGGCACCATCCACCTCTGCACCTACCTACTGCAGTCAACTCACACATTCTGTGGTAGCCCTTATGGAGCTCATTCAGGAAGAGTGGGAAACTAAGGATTCTTACCTGAAGAGACTGTACTTATGTCCCAGACCCGAAGCCCTTCTTTCTGACCTCCAAAGGCATAAATAAAGGGCAAGTCAGGGCAACATGAAGAACAAAAGAGAACACCCTGGGAGAAAAAGGGCATAAAGTCAGTGATTTTGATTTTTCCAGAGAGCTTTAATGTCTAGATCCCTATCTGGTGTGTAAAAACCTATGGTTTGAATGTTTACTCCAAACCAACTCAACAGTATCTCTCTCAACCCCACTACAAAGCCAGCTCATAGTTGAGTCAGAAGAGATATTACTACAATATGAAGCAGAACAAGTTCAGCATGATGGTCATTCTGTGAGGATATATGACTACTTAGGTTTCTCATCTTCATTATCATTCCATTAGAATTTCTTAATACCTGGATCTGCAATGTAGTCCCAGAAAATTTACTACTTCTCTCTAACAATGATGGTCATACAAGAAGTCACTATTAAATAATCTTTTAAACTTTTAAGTTTTTTTTTTTTTTTTAACACTTTTATTACTAGATACTACATATGTTGTTGTTGGGTATCGTAGAGTCGATTCTGACTCACAGCAACCCCATGTGACAGAGCAGAACTGCCCCATAGGGTTTTCTAGGGTATAATCTTCATGGAAGCAGATTGCCAGGTCTTTCTCCCACAGACCTGCTGGTGGGTTCAAACTGCCAACCTTTTGGTAGCAGTCGAGTGCATAACTGTTGCACCACCAGGGCTCCTTAGATAATATATATGCATTATGGGAAATCTGAACAAGAAAAAATACAAAAATTACTTAAAAGATAACTAACCACTGTTGATATTTTGGAATATAATCTTCTAGATTTTCATAAATAAAAAACAAGCATAAGATGGTTCTATAAAAACTGTTTCTATAACCTGTCTTTCCATAAATATAATTCTTAACAGCTGCAGTGTTCTACACTATCTTTGTAATCTAATTTACATAACTAATTCCCTAATGTTCAACTGCCAGGGATAGTGTCTGGCACACAGTAGGTGCTCAATATTTACTGAATAAATTCAGGTTATTTCCAACTGTTTTGCTACTACACAGTACTCAATTTTAATGTAGTCAGATCTAGTTATGTACAGAGACAGAAAAATTGACCTCAATAGTTTTGGTGCCCTAGAGGTTCAAGATTTCCTGGGATGGTCCTAATTTTAGGGTCAAGAAATGGGGCCACTGTGTTTGTGGCCTATAAAACCCTCTCCCATTCTTGGGCGTATTACCTTCTTGGGCTTAACACCAAGCAACTGTAAATCACATTAGCTGCAAAGGAACCAGACAGCCATTGATTCCCCTTGAAACTGTCCCAAATCATAAAACAAGACATAAAACTTCCACCAAATGTGACCGAGCTCAAAATTAACTTTCCCAACAAATTCAGAATCTTTAATGCAATGACTCCTAGAGAAAGACAGGCAATACAGGCCAGAAAGAGAGTAAACAGAAAACAAGGAGGTCCAGGCAAATTCTTACCATTTTCATGTCCCTAGAGTGAACCAGACTTGGCCTATCTCCTAATATGTCCCAAATCTTCACGTATTTGTCTGCTGAAGCAGTCACAAGACAGCCCTTGATTTGACTGCTTAGATCAAGACCTGTAAGGATAACGTTACTTTAGAGGTTGTCAGTCTGAAATACAGATTAAAATCATAAGGTAACAGAAATGAAGAAATATATTCTTGCTCACCAGAGATTTCATCATTGTGTGCATTAAGTGTAAAAATAGGCTTATCTGAACGTGCATCCAAATTATATACAAAGCCATCATCTGTACTGGCCTGGAAAGAGAAAAAGATGGGCAAGATCATGCTATGTGACTATGAAATTTAGCACTAGGTAAATAGCCTAAAACACAGTGCAAATCAGCTATATGTGACTTGCCTGTGGAGTTTATTAAAAACTAACACAGACATAAAGAAGCTACTTTTGAATATGCTGACTTGGACTAATTATGCTGGTAAGTATCAGGCAGCTGGAAAGGAGTGTGAAGCCTGTGCTGAGCAGTACCGTGGGTTTTGGGATGTGGCAGCACTGAGGTGGTAGTTAACATCTGTGCAAGCAGAGGGGATGAGCCCTGAGAGTGTAGAATTCAGAGTGGGCTGAGGACAGAGGCCTGGCGAGCACGGCTAGTTAGGGCACAGGCTGAGGAGGAGCCCAGAGAAGTAAGAGAGAGAGAGGAGGGAATAAAGGAGAACGCCAGGAAAGTCAAGGACACAGCTTCTGAAAAAAGGAGGGATCAACATTGTCAACGTTGTGACAGAGAGATTCACTTAGATAAGGAGCAAAAGGTAGATCACAGTGGGCTCTTACACTTTCAAGCAAGGGAGAGGAAATGAAGGAAGAAAGAGACAACAAACAGTCAAAGATGGAAAAAAAGAGACTCGAACCTGAACACAGGCTGAGGGCAACAGCCCAGACAGGAGAAAGGGAGAAAGACAGGACAATCAATGGAGTGCAGTCTTGAAGGTTAGGCTGGGGAGGAGACCAAAAACAGAAGAGGAGGGAGGTCTCTTCCTTTGAGACTGGAGGGAAGGAGGTGAACAATTTTATTCTGATCACTTCCCTAAATATTTGTGATTTTAGTACCAATGACAATTTATCAGCAAATAACCTCAGGAAAAGCATGTCTGACTGTTGAGATCCAAAGTACAATGCAACATTCAAACACAGTGGGAATTCATGCCTGGTAATTTTAAGATGGAATGTGGCTTAAGGCAGCCTGGCTGGAACAGCAGGCTTCTCTAGTAGGGGTGCAGATAGCTGAGCTCATGTGTTCTCAGAATCATTACTTCAGAAACCTGTCCACATCTTTAAAGAAAGCGGCTTTAAAAAAATAAAACTTTCCTTTCCAAAGCAATACATACTCACCTCAAAAAATTAGGAAATGAATGTTATCACAATATCTGTAATTACTCTTTCCTTCTGGATGAAAGTTGAGATTTTATTCTTCCATGAACTGAAATGTCAGTGGAATCTTTGGGATGCTACATGGAAAAATTGTCATTCCACAACCATTAAGGGCATTTACAGAAAGACTTTTTCCTGTCTGGGAGGCAGTGCTATCAATTAAGTAGCCTAGCATTTCCATCACTAGAGCAACATTTAAAAAAGAACAATCTTCTTGGACTGATTTAACCATAAAAAAAGCAAAGCATGCTTAATATTTTTAAAAAACCTCACTGTAATAAAATGATCAAAAACAAGTAAAATAAAATGTGGCACACGATAGAATGACTGGAAATTAGCAAAATCGTTGTTGACTTGTTCACTATTTTTATGGATGGTTTATTATTTTCTGGTAGATGATCCATTATTCTCTTGTTAAAGAAACCTTATTTATTATTTTTTAACTCTAAACCCCAAATATTTTACACAGTTAATACAGAAAAAGCTTTTCAGAGAGTTTTCACAATGCAAGTAAAGAACACAAGCTGTTAGTGACCTGGAAAGACAAAACAGTAACATGCATACTCTTACCAAAAAATGACAAGGCGAAAAGTGATTCCAAGTCACTCTCTCAATCTGGCCACTGAATCGCCACATTCGACGGCTTTCATCTGGACTTCGGCAGTCATACAAAGCCACTGACCTGGACACAGAGAGGCAAAGTTACAGTTTTAACAGCCAAATCTTCCTGTAAGTTTTAAGTATCTTTAAATGAAACTAAGATAATAAAATAATATTGTGAAGTCAAGATTTATCTGAAGGTTCTAAATTAAAGTAGAAAAAGTGAATCGAGTTTCACAAATTGGTGGACTCTGGTCCTGTCAGTTGAAGGCACTGGTGGCTCTGGATGTCACAAGCAGCTCTGACCTTCTCCAGGTTGAATCCTCTATTCACAAAAGTCCAGGACAATTTCTAATTTCCTCTTCCCAGGTGGTGCTCAGAGTCAGCTATCTCCTGTCTTAGCCACTCTTACCCTCCATAAGCAGGTTATTGTGTGTTGGGAGAACCGAGGGACACGCTTTTGAAATTTTGTATGAATCACAACAAAAAACTATAAACATAAGTCTTCAAAAGGATAGGGAATCAAAATAAAGACTGTAAGGCGGTTTCTGCTTCTACTAGCTCTCTTTCCCACCTTAGCCCCAATCTGTAAACAGGAGCACATGAACGATGTTAAGCCCCAGGGCTGACTGCCATAGTGGTCCCCATTCTTCACCTTTCCCTGTATCGGAGACGCTGTCATATGACTTGGGACTCCTTCCCTTTACATTTCTCCACTCCATGTAACCTGTTTTAGCCAAGGGGAGCCAAGTCTCCCCAGCTCAGGCTAGATTAGTAGAGTCACCACATGAATCCAGTCTAGATTAGTACAACCTCAAAGAAGCCTAAGAAATAAATGTTTATTATTGTAAGCATTGAATTGTGAGGTGGTTTGTTTCACAGCAATAGCTAACTCAGACACCCTCTAAAAATCAAAGTAGCTGCTAATTCCTATGATTATTATGACAGAACCACATTCTCTTGCAGACTGAAAGCAGAATTGAAAAGCGAAAACAAGTACTACTAATGTAGGCGTGACTCAGTAACATATTTGGTCTAAGCATCAAGCGATAATTTTTGGATTAGTTCAAGGGAGTGAAAACCAGGGATTTGAACCGGTTTGTTCTGGTTTGAACCCCTGCTGAGAACTTGCATTTCCACCCGATATAATGAATCAGAATCTACATTTTAACACGATCCCAAGGTGATTCTTATGTATAATAAATTTTGAGAACCACTGCTCTGCTTGTGGTTCTCAGAATTGGTCCCTAACTGGCAGCATTAGGCTTGCCTGGGAACTTGTTAGAAATGCAAATTCTCAGCAGGGGTTCGAACTGGAATGAACAGGTTCGAAGCCGTGGTAAAAACAGAACAGCAATAATCCCTGAGGTGCTTTATTACTTATCATATGATCCAGAAATCAGGGTCTGTGCTTCAAATGGATGAAATTGCAGAGTCTGGACCTAAAGGGAGGAAACATAAATGAACAGATCTGCATGTCTGGCTTCGGTAAAATTACCTAATGTTTGGCTAGCACCAACGTGGTAGTGTTTCCATAAATCCTTCCCTTTGACATTCAGTACTATTTAAACAAACATAATTGTCTATCCTGCATAATCAAAAGGACAAACCCTATTCCCAAATAAAAGCTGATACGTATAAGACATTTCCCCGATGCAGCATTCCCTAAACGGGTTTGGCAGAACACTTAGGTCCCGTAAGTGTTAAAAGATATTCAGAAGAAAAAAGGAGGTGCTGGGGCTAAGAGGTCAGGGGAGTGGTCATAAGACACCGGGGCCACTCCACATGCTCCGAAAGGCCCACATGCGCATTAGCACATTAGATCCCCGAGGAGTTCTGCAGTTATGGAATCCAATAAACTCCTTCACCTCATTTGGTGACAGAAAGCACCGTCCCTTTTTCGGAACCTCTGTAAACATGTTACAGAGCACTAAAGTTCCTAGTCACTTCACTTCCTTGCACCCATCTTTGCATATCTAAGATGGGTATTATACCTATCACACGTGAAGAAGTGTGAAGATTCAATAACATAACGTGATAGCACTTTGTAAACCAGAAAAAGCCATGTTTGGGACTATTTTTAGCTAATATCTGTCCCAGATTTTTTAGAATCCCCTCTATCCACTAACTCACCATACCTTGTCTGTATGTACAGCGAGGCTAGCTGCTGGTTTCCCCAAGGACATATCCCAGAGAATTACAGTGTTGTCAGCAGATGCACTTGCCAGCACATTTCTGAGGAAGGGAAGAAACATCAGGTAACCTTTTAAAAATCAAGAGCATTAAATGTAAGAAATAAATTCCATTTACAATAACATCAAGCAGAATAAAATACTTAGAAATAAATTTAACAAACAGTACAAGACTTGTATACTGAAAACTATAAAATATTTTTGAAAAAAAGAAATTCTAAATAGAAATGTATCCCATGTTCATGGATTGAAACACATAATATTGTTAAAATCAAGATACTGCCATTTTAAAGACTGACCTACAAATTTATCTATAGATTCAACCAATCCCTTATCAAATAGCCCAAAAATTGATAAGCTGGTCCTAAAATTTACATGGAAATGCAGGGGACCCAGAATGGCCACAACAATCTTGAAAAAGAAGAACAAAGTTGGAAAACTCACATTACCCAATTTTAAACCTTACTACAAAGCTACAGTAGTCATGAGAGTGTGGTACTGGCATTAAGGATAGACACAGATCAGTGGAACAGAACTGAAAGTCCAGAAATAAATCCTCACATATATGGTCAGCTGATTTTCAACAAGGGTTCCAAAACAATTCAATGTTCAATAGGAAAAGAAGTCTTTTCAACAAATGGTTCAACGATGACTGGATATCCTTATGCAAAAGAATGCTTTTGTCCCTTTCGTATTTATTTTCTTTTTAATTGTACTTTAGATGAAGGTTTACAGAACTAGCTTCTCATTAAACAAAACACATACTGTTTTATGACAATGCTTAACAACCCCACTACATGTCAACACTGTCCCTTCTCAACCTTGGGTTCCCTATTACCAGCTTTCCTGTTCCCTCCTGCCTTCTAGTCCTTGCCCCTGGGCTGGTGTGCCCCTTTAGTCTTGTTTTGTCCTACGGGCCTGTCTAATCTTTGGCTAAAAGGTGAACCTCAGGAGTGACTTCATTACAGAGCTAAAAGGGTGTCTGCGGGCCATACTCTCAGGGTTACTTATTTTTTATTGTGCTTTAGGTGAAAGTTTACAGCTCAAGTTAATTTCTCACACAAAAATTTATACGCTTGTTTTTTGACATTAGTCCTTCTTTTTTGATGGGCACATCTATTGCTATAAATTGACCTCTGAGCACTGCCTTTGCTGTGTCCCAAAGGTTTTGGTATGATGTGTTTTTATTCTCATTTAATTCTAGGAAATTTGTTCCATCTTTGATTTCTTCTATTACCCAGTGGTTTTTAAGCAAAGTGTTATTCAGTTTCTATTATTTGCTTCTTTTTTTGCTTGCTCTTCCTGTTGTTAATTTCTACTTTTAATGGCATTGGGATCAGAAGATGCTTTGTAATTACCTCAATGCTTTGGATTTTGTTGAGGGGTGCTTCGTGGCCTAAGATGTGGTCTATTCTGGAGAACATTCCATGTGCACTGGAAAAGAATGTGTACTTTGCAGCTGTTAGGTGGAGTATTCTATGTATGTCTATGAGGTCAAGTTGGTTGATTGTGGCCTTTAGATCTTCTGTATCTTTCTTCAGTTTCCTTCTAGATGTTCTGTTCTTTATGAGTAGTGTGTTGAAGTCTCCTACTATTATTGTGGAACTGTTTTGTAATTTCTCTTTTCAGTGCAGTTAGAGTTTATGTATTTTGGAGTCCTGTCGTTGGGTATGTAGATATTTATTATGGTTATGTCCTCATGGTAGACTGTCCCTTTAATCATTATATAATGTCCTTCCTTTTCTTTTATGGTGGATTTTGTTTTAAAGTCTATTTTATCTGAGATTAGTACTGCTACTCCTGCTCTTTTTTGGTTGCTATTTGCTTGATACATTTTTTCCATCCTTTGATTTTTAATACATTTATGTCTTTGTTTTCTAAGCTGTATCTCTCGTAGACAGCATATTGATGGGTTCTGTTTTTTTATTCTGTCACTCTCTTTATGGGTGCATTTAGGCCATTTACATTCAGTGTAATTATTGATAGGTGTGAGTTTATTGCTGTCATTTTGTAGTGCTTTTTTTGTGGTGCTGATGTTTTCTTTCTTCCTCTTACTCTCCTGTGCTGAATTCCTTTTGTTTGTTATTTCATTTCTTTTGTTTTTGTAGATTTTGTATTTACTGAGACTTTGTTTTTCTTCTTTATTTTGATGAGTAGGTTTGTTAACTTGCTTTGTGGTTACCGTGAAATTTACCCGTTTTCCTAAGTTTAAACCAGTCTTTTATTACTTGATATCGTCTTGACTTCCTCTCCATTTGAAAGTTCTATACGTACACTCTTTATTCCCTCTTTTATTGTTCTATTGTAGTTGTCATTTACAGATCGACTCTCTGGTTCCCTGCTGTAAATCTTTTAGTTTTGTTTTATCCTTGAGAATTCATTACCTAGGTTGGTATCTGGCTGATGCTATCTTGCATCCTAGATTTAGGCTGTTGGCTGATGTTGTTGATTCTTTAACCGAAGGACTCCCTTTAATAATTCTTGTAAGTCTGGTTTGGTTTATACATATTCCCTTAAAACTTCTGTTTATCTGGAGGTGTCCTAATTTTGCCATCATATTTGAGTCCAAGATGGTGAATCTGGCCATGTTAGCTGGTAGGGGACCTCCATACCATAGCTCTCCTTGTTCTCTGTTCTCTGTCAGTTTCTTATTCCATCTGCTACTTGATCGGACTCTTTATTCCTACGTTTGGTGCTTACGGTTCCAAGACTGACATTTGTATCTGTTTTACTTAGTTTTTCAGGTTTTTGCTGCAAAGGGACAGCACAGTGCTTCTGTCTGTAGTGCCATGTTGGCTCCGCCAGCCCTCAGGCAAAAGAGCGAGATTGGACCCCTACACCTCACACCATAAACCAAAACCAAAACCAAACTCATTACTGTCGAGTTGACTCACACCATACCCCCCTCAAAAAAAACCCTCCAAACTCAAAATGGATCACAAACCTAAATGTGAGAACTAAAAACTATAAAACTCTTAGAAGAAAACACAGGTGTAGATCTTCGTGACTTTGGATTAGGCAATAGTTTCTTAGATACAACACCAAAAGCATAAGCAACAACAACAACAAAAATAAGCTGGATTTCATCAACATGAAATACTTTTATGCTGCAAACAATACCATCTAGAAAGTAAAAAGATAACTGAGAACAACAGAAAATATTTATAAATCGTGTATCTGATAAGGAACTTGTATCTAAAATATACAAAGTACTTTTACAACTTGATAATAAAAAGAGAAATAACTCAGTTAAAAAATGGGATAAAGAATCTGGACAGACATTTCTCCAAAGAAGATATACAAACAGCCAATAAGCACGTGAAAAGATGTTTAACATCATTAGTCATTAGGGAAATGAAAACCAAAACCACAATGGGATACCACATCATACCCACTTAGATGGCTATAATTAAAAAGACAGCATTAACAAGTGTTGGTGAGAATGGAGAAATTGGAACCCTCATCCATTGGTGGTGGAAATGTAAAATGGTGCAGTGACTACCATATGACCCAGCAATTCCACTCCCAGGTATATAACCAAGAGAAATGAAAACATATGTCCACACAAAAACCTGTGTATAAATGTTCGAAGTAGCATTATTTATAATAGCCCAAAAGTGAAAACAACGCAAATGTCTACCAACCGGTGAATGGATATACAAAATGTGGTATATCCATACAGTGAAATATTTTTCAGCAATAAAAAGGAATGATGTACTGATATATGCTACAACGAGGATGAACCCTGAGAACATTATGCTAAGTTAAAGAAGTCAGTCATAAAAAAATCACATATTGCATAATACTATTTATATGAAATGTCCAGAATAGGCAAATCCAGAGACAAAAAGTAGATTAGTGGTTGCCAGGGGCTAAGGGAAGAGGGAATGAAAAGTGACTGTTAATAGGTATGGGACTTCTTTTTGGGGAGATGAAAATGCTCTGAAACTAGACAGCGGTTGTTATGGACTGAATTGTGTCCCCCCCAAAAATGTGTGTCAACTTGGCTAGTCCATGATTCCCAGTATTGTGTGACTGTCCACCATCTTGTCATCTGATGTGATTTTCCTTTGTGTTGTAAATCCTACCTCTATGATGTTAATGAGGTGGGAGTAGTTGCAGTTAAATTAATGAGGCAGAACTCAATCTATAAGATTAAGTTGTGTTTTAAGCCAATCTCTTTTGAGATATAAAAGAGGGAAGTGAGCAGAGAGACAGGGGAACCTCATACCACCAAGAAAGCAGTACTGGGAACAGAGTGTGTCCTTTGGATCTGAGGTCCTTGTGCAGAGAAGCTCCTAGACCAAGGGAAGATTGATGACAAGGACCTTCCTCCAGAGCCAACAGAGAGAGAAAGCCTTCCCTTGGGGCTGGTGCCTTGAATTCAGACTTCTAGCCTACTAGACTGTGAGAGAATAAACTTCTGTTTGTTAAAGCCATCCACTTGTGGTATTTCTCTTATAGCAGCACTAGATAACTAAGACAGTGGTGATGGTTGCACAACTCTTGTGAATATACTAAAAACCATTGAACTGTATACTTTAAAAGGGTAAATTTTATGATATATGAATTATATTCAATAAACTGTTTCTAAAAAATGTTATTAATAGGAAACAGAATGATATGTTAGTAAGAATCAAGAGCTAATAATTCTGTTCTACAATAGAACACAGGTTTTAGAGTCCAGAAAACCTGAAACAGATTCTTGGCCTTGCCACTAACTAGCTATGAGACTTAAAAGTAAGTCACACATCTACTGTGTGTTTCAATTTCCTTGCCTGCCAATTAGAGTGATATGACCAATCTCAAAGAGTTGTTATGCAAGTGCCTGGCTGAGTAACTGGCATGTAGTAGGCCCATGAGGAATGCTGCCTCTCTTTTCTCCTTTCTAAATATACAAGAGCTTCTGAAACTGAGAGCTCAATTTTCATTCAGCATCTAGCTTTAAAACAGCGTGACACAGAATCAAGTCATTAGTAATGTTTTTGTTCAGAAAACCAATATATTGTTAAAATAAAATGCTAATGGGTCCATTTAGATATT